ACTTTAATGCCAACTGCCAAATATGACACTTACAAATTAATACAATTTATGAATGCACATAGAAAAGAGAGAAAGTAGGGATTTTTTCTTTGTTTTATTTTCTTTTTATTAATTTTTTTACACATATATTTAGTAAAAAAAAATGTCCTGACCATCAAGTGTCAGTCACTCTCAGTGCCAACTGGCAGGAAAACATGGTAAATTCTAACCATTTTTTTTTTTGAAATAGATAAAGTGCCGACAATTCATACAACTATTTCCACACAGTGGTGTAGCGGACGGGCACGCACTGCGGGGCGCCCCGCGATAACCTCCCCGTGCTGAGATGCGTCGTATCATGTGTCGATGATAGCCAGAGATATTGTCAAAAGCATCAAAAATTGGCAATATTAAGAGGATTTAGCATTTTCAATGAATGTAGGCCTGCTACATTCTTCTTATTATTAGGCCTATTATTATTATTAGGTTACTCTTAAATTAAATTACATGAAATTATTGCCCCACCGCATGACGCGCTGTGACGTCCTCTGTGGAACACAGAAGCTGATGTTTGGCAGAATGTTAAGTTCTTTTAAATATAATGCAAGTGAATGGTGACCATTGGTGTTAAGCTCCAAATAAATGATAAAAAGAAACCATAAAAGTACACAAGAACTGTGCTGTATTTTTCAGCTCTTCTGAAGGCATAGATCAGCTTTTTGTGAGAAACTGAAATATTTTAAATATAGTGCCTTATATGAGCTTATATGAGCTTTTTGAAATTGTAACGGTTAATTTTTATGATTTTTGGAGCTTGACAGAGCCTAATCACTATCTATCTTCATTGTATGGAAAATAGCAGCTTAAACATCACATCTAAACATCTCCTTTTGTGTCTCAAAAATCATAATACATGAGGGTATGGAAGTTCTTTTTTTTTTACACATTTGGAATCTCAAGTCATCTGGAATCTCATCAGAATCTCAATCACCTTTCTGAATCTCGCAATTCAGAATCGCACAGTATAAACTAAGAATTGCAAGATATTAACTCAGAATCGAGAGATATGAAACAAGAATTGCAAGAAAAAAATCAGAATGGTTAGAAAAAAGTCAGAATTGTGAGATATAAACTCAGAATTGAGAGATATGAAACAAGAATTGCAAGAAAAAAAATCTGAATTGTGAGATATAATCTCAGAATGTTTCTCGGAATTATGAAAAAAATGTCTGAATTGTGAGAGAAAAAGTTTATGGTTTTCATTTTTTTTATTCTGTGGCAGAAATAAGCTTTCGTATGAGGGTAAGTAAATGTAGACAGAATTTTCAGTTTCGTGTTAACTTTAACTGCAGCACTCTTTTCATTTCAATTAAACCGCACATGTTTGGGGTTGAACAGGCAAAGCTGTTGAAGCGGCAGAAATGGGCATATTTCAAAAACAAGTGGAATCTGTTAGACCTGGCCATCATCATTTTAAGTTGGAGTTCATTATCAGTGTTCATCAAGAGAACAGTGCAGGGAGACAAAGACATTGAATACTACCAAAACCACAAGGATCAGTAAGTAGAAAAAAATTTAACCAAAGAAAAAAAAATTAATATGAACATAAATTAAACATCCAACTGACCTTAGGTTTGGAGAATGGATAGATGAACTGGACATGGTAAAAAATGCTATTCCTGTCCTACAGGTTTCCCAGTTTCCATGACACAGCCGGATGAGCGAGGCCAGATAGACCACAAGCATCTGATCGTTGGTCTTCAGGTAGAAGGCCTTCACAAACTCCTGCAGGTTGACATCAGGCAGCAGATTGAACACGTCCTGCAGCTGATAAATGATCTGGTGGTTGATGGGCAGTTTGCCGGTAGCAACCTTCTCCAGATAGCTCTTGATATCCAGCAGCTTGGAGTTGAGCCCTTTCAGGCCATGAACCTGATTGGTGATACGCTGTGACAAAGTGCCAACTGTTGTGTCCTTGATATCACTGCAAAAACATCATGAGAATAAACTAGGTTGTTTACAGATATTTTAGATTAGATTAGAAATCTTTATTGTCCACACATGTGGAAATTCATCTTCGGCCCCACAAAAACATATAGGACTACCACAAATACACTTGACTTCACAGTCCAATACAACAGACACACAAAACATACAGTACAAGAACGTCTTGCCCCAAGGATTACACATGAGACATAAAAGCAATATATAGAAATTAGGCTAATAGTACTAAAACCATAAATAGATAATTAATAAATAAATTAATAAATAATATTAATAAATAGATAAGAGCAGTTAGTTACATAATATACATAGACCTAATTATAAATCATTTACTTAATAAAGTAATGGCAGATGGTATAAAATATTTCTTGAAAATATTTCTTGTTGCTATGGGTACCGTCTGCCTGAAGGAAGTTTTTCAAATTCATGTTGGAGAGGGTGTGTTGAGTCCTGAACTATTTGCCAGGCTTTCCTCCTGGTCTGGTTTGTATACAGTTCCACTAGCTGCCTCTGGGGGTCCAATATGATCTTACTGGCTATATTAATAATCTTTGTGATCTTACTTTTGCTTCTAGCCCCCAGATTCCCATTCCAGCAGGTGATGTTATAGGAAAATAATACTTTCCAGCAAACTGGTGTAAACCATCCTCAGGATTCCCTTACTCACATTAAAACTATTTAGTTTCCTCAAAAGAAACAATCTTTGGCTTGCCTTCTTATAGATATAGTCTGTGTGCTCAATAAAATTTAAGATACAATCTAGGATAATCCCTAGATATTTAAAACTATTTACAATCTCAACATGTCGGCCCCCAATTATGATCAGCTGACATGTAGGTTGCCCTTCTCTAGTTCTGACAACAAGTTCCTTGGTTTTAAAAGCATTTAGTGACAGAGTACTCTCCTCGCACCATGCCACCAGTCGGTCTATATGCTCAAAATAAGCCCTCTCTAAATCCCCCTTTCCTCTGGCCATAAGACCAACCATAGCCATGTCATCGGCATACTTAAACTAAAATTACTTTCACAAATCTGCATTTCATTTATATACATAGAAAACAATGCAGGTGATAACACACAGCCTTGGGGGACTCCAGTGTTTAATTAGTGCTGTCAAACGATTAAAAAAATTTTTTTTTTCAGTAATTGATTAATTGCATCTAATATTAAAACTTGTAATGTATTTTCATAGTGTATTATATATTCACAATAAATATCTAGACTAATGTAAAACAACAAAGACAGCATATTTTAAATATTTGTAAATTTCTGGAGTAATTATAGCCATTCAACACTACAGTATAATTGAAAGCCACCATTTTTACAATTTAATAGGCTTAAAAATAACATTTTATATTAACTTAAAACAGCTGTGCCTATAATATAGTGTTGTTTCTGCCTCTGTTTGAATGTGAGCTGTCATTTTCCCCCCCAGTTCATTTGTGCAATGATGTTCACAATATGTAAGAAAATTTCACAAATCCCGGAAAATATGCGTTGTAGTTCAAACGAGTCGTTCGTTGTAGTTTTTGAAAAGTGCCTTCTGTTAAATAAAATATCTCCTTTTGAAGTGAACTTAGAGCTTTGTAACTTTGCAGATCTTTTTTTATGCTCAAACACCAACATTACAGACTAACTAAAGTTGAAAAAGTGAAAAAGCATAATAGGACTCCTTTAAAATATTTGGTATCAATATTTTACGCGAGGATCCTCTCGATACATCAGTATCAAAAGAATTTTGCCTAAACTTATTTTATTTGGCTGCTCGATTGAATGCTTCTTAAATAGAAAATATTAAATCGCAGAAGATAACAGGTTATTTTTGACAGCCCTCATTGTAATACATCTAAAATAAATCAAATAAACAGAAATGTACATGTCATCCCCATCTTACCGCAACAAATGCTCCACGCCAACTTCCTCTGCCTCCTCTGCTCCGATCTCGCTGGTCACGTGTTCAAACGTCTTAGATGTGGGAGTTCCATCCTTCAGTGAAGAATAAATGTCAACAATTCACATGTAAGAAATCAAATATTAACATAGCTTAATAACTTCAACAAGTACTCACATCATGCACTTCCTCCACTGAGATGTAAGCTTCAGTTGGCAACCCCAGGTCCTTGGGTTTCACATCAATAATGACTAAAACCTTTGGGAAATACAAAAGCAAAAGGAAAAAAAAAAGAACATTATTTTTTGCATTAAGAAAATATATCCTGTTGTCAGGAAAATTGTGCCATTATTTTCTATTAAATTAAACACTCCTGCCAATTCTCATAAATTCTCAAAAATAATATTTAAATTGCAATATTTAAATTGCAATAATATATATATTTGCTCACCAAGCCTGCTTTTTTTTTTCTAAAATACAGCAAAAGCAGTAATATTGTGAAATATTTTTACTATTTAAAATAAGTGCTTTCTAATAAATATATTTTAAAAGGTAATTTATTCATGCGATTTCAAAGCTGAATTTTCAGCATCATTACTCCAGTCTTCAGTGTCACATGATCCTTCAGAAATCTTTCTAATATGCTGATTTGCTGTTCAAGAAACATTTGATAATTATTATCAATATTTAAAACAGTTGAGTAAATTTTTTGTCAGGATTTTTTAATGAAAAGAAAGATCCAAAGTTCAGCATTTATCTGAAATAAAAAGCTTTTGTAACATTATACACTATACCATTCACAAGCTTGGAGTCAGTATATTTAAATCATTATATGTTTATTATTAAATTATGAAATTATAGATATTAATACTTTTATGTAGCAAGGATGCATTAAATTGATCAAAAGAGATGATAAAGACATTTATAATGTTACAAAAGATTT